AGAAACGTGGGGAAAAATCGGCGCCACCTATAGGCACACGACCCATATTATACTCGATGCCATTTGTAGAGTAATAGTCCCGGATTATATTTGTGGCCATTTGTTTGGGCAGACTATTAAGGCTGACTCCGGCGGCGTCTGTGAAGGCGCCCCCAAAGCCTATAATTTTCTGGTATTTTACGGTCTTATCGATAGTCAATATAATGGTCTCGTTGTTGGTCTCGCTATCACTGAATGGGTTTAAAATTGTAATTAATAATAAACATTAATTAAAAGTTTAATTTTGCAAAATAATTAATTTCGTACACATTTTGTTTGGACTGTATTTTAAGCGTCGATTGTTTGAGTCGTTCCCCGCGTTTGTTGGTCTCAAACAGTAATACCGTTCCCTTCGGGGCTTTGGTTACGGCCTCTAAATCGTCACAAACCGTTGCGTTGCAAACACAATAAGGGGTGTCCTTTCCGGCTCGTGGTATACATTCCCGACGGCTTTCCACTAAAATTTAATAATATTTTTAATCAATGAATTAGTTAATACTAAAGCGACAAATTTGTAGTGTAACAATAGCTAACTCAATCATTATTAACAATCAAATCAATACTAAATTAATACAATTAACGCTGACGTTGTGCATTGATTTGATTGTTAATAGTGAGTGAGTTAACTATTATTGCCTACAAATTTGTTGCTTTAGTTATTACTCTGTTGTATACCTATTGTTAAAATAGTGATCAGCGTTTGGATTAACAAAACAGTTGTTATGAATCTCATTGTTATTATGTTTGAGTGAAACACATTTGAGTGAATGGCTGTTTTGCACATAAATTGCTTATATTTATATAAAATTTTGTTTTCCACGTCAAAAGGAAATTCACTTATCTGGGTACTTTAGTTCAGGTGGTATGAATGTACTTGCAGTCTAGAATGTGAAAATACATATTTGGCTTAGAACCAATTATTTGATTACAAAATACACAATAATTTAAGATATATCCTTAAATACCTGAAGTACACTTGATAAAGTACAACTTAATAATAGATAAAATTTATTTTTATGCGAAAATATTTTCTATTCAACAATAGTTTTGCACATGTTTAGATATGGGAACTGGAAAATTGACCTAAACTTAAATAACTTAATGACCAATAGACTTTTGACCATTGTCAGGATAGGTAAGGTTAGGTTAGGTCAAGGGGAACATTTTACACTGGTCATCAGGTATATTTACTTACTGGTCATT